GCCTGTGCCCCAGGGGGAAGTGACGTGCAGTCCAAGAACTTACCGACTCTTCCCCTCTCTGAAGCCTCCACGGCCTGGACCCAGCGCCGAGCTGACAGCCCAGGCAGGGGCATCGCTCACAGCTACCAGGGCTCGGAGTCTGCCAGGGGGCCGAGGGGTCCAGAGGTTTCAATGCAGACATGCAGTGACATTTTTTTAAAATACATTTTGGTAATATTTCGCAGCGCAGTCTCTGTGGGCCCCAGCTTGAGAATCGCTGGTGTAGGGCGCTCTACTCACCGAAGCCATGCCTCTCTACCCTGCTATTTACAGTAGATTCTACTTAATAGCAACCCAGATATTAACTGTTGGTTAATAGCAACTTGTTGCTGGGACCCAGTCCCATCCCACTGACTTTAATGTTAATGGGATTCAGAGATTGGCAATGGTATGCTGCTTCTTAGCAAGATTTTTTGGGAGACAAGCTCCACCAGCAGGCAGGTTTACAGGGCTGCAGCCAGGGAAGGCACATCCCAATGGTTCCTACCATGACTGCTGCTTTGCAAACTTGCCTTCTTGTTAGCAACCGCTGGATAATAGAAGTTATTGGTTTGCAACAGAGGGGTTGCTAATAAGCAAAATCTACTGCATGCACATACTAGCTGGGCCTGCAGTGTCTGTACTCTGCATGCTGCCATAAGCATAGACGTACGCGCAGGAAGAGGTTTCAATTTCATTGCATCAGTAAATCCCGACAAAAAGCGTTTTCTCTGAATTTTTCCAGCCAACTCTACTTTGCACTTCTATCCCACGCGTCATCTGAGGGGCTCAAAGCCCTTTACAAATGTTCATTCATTCTCTTAACACTCCAGTAATTCACAGAGATGTGACCCCTGTTTTACAGATGGGGAGAGTGAGGCACGGAGACTTTCAGAGACATGCCCTAGGCCATGCAGGAAGTCAACAGCCGAGTCAGAAAAAGACCCCAGCCCTCCCGCCGTCCAGTGCTGTGCCACACCAGCCATTGCTTTCTCTTGCCCACGACTCATCCCTCCCACCAACGGGCAGCTAGTTGCAGGCTGTAGAGTGGCAGCTGTTCAACAGCTTAGGCTAGGAAGTGAATAGGGCACGCAGTGGAAACTGCAGGGGGAATTAGGCCAACAGACCGTAAATAGCACAGCTGGAATTTGGCTGGGACTAAGCCCCCCGTTCGTACAAAATCAAAAATGAAACCAGACAAAAGGAAAACAAGTATTTTCCTTTTCTCTAATCAGCATTGGGACCTTTGGTTTGTGTCTCTTCTGGCAGTGGAGACCTGCAGCTATTCAGTGGCCTCTAACACCATGCAGTGCCATCAGTTCAGCATCGACTCCACAGAAAGTGCCCCGCCTACCATCTCACTAGCGTCACCACTGATTGCAACACTCAGGAGAGCAGCTACCAAAGCTTCACTCACAAGCGTCACAACGACATCCATCATCTAGTGTAGCCCCTGCACTGATTTTACCTAGTGAGCACCCTCTAGCTACACTACTTGGACAGTTAGATTATTTGGTAACTACCCTTAGTAGGCTTCAAAAGATAAATATTGGAGATATCCTTAAACAGGAATCTGAACTCACAGACTGTTCCCCAACCCCACACCAAATTGCAAAGGGTCCACATTTAAGTCCCCAGATCTGAACCCATCTCTATGATTCTGGTTCCAAGTCAATTCCAAACCCAGGAATGGCCTATTTTCTGGGTCTGGTTTAGAACTGCTTATACTAGTGGCGCCAATACTAGTTTGACTGGCATAACCACCAGTACAAGCACTTGTATATTGATATAACTGTGTCTATACTAGGAGGGTTTTGATGGCATAACTAAGTTGGTTTAAAAAAAATCATACTCCAACCAACCAAGGTATACTAGCAGAACTTCTGAGTGTAGATCAAACCTTAGACATTAGTAGATTCATCCTCACAGCATCTGAGGGAAGCAGGGGAAGGAGGCACAGAGAGATGAAGGGCAGGATAGTGGCACATTGCACAAACAATTGATTTTCACTAGATTTCTACAATTTTGGGCCAAATCTCTCATGAGAGTTCAACATGGTGGAGCCTAAATGTAGTCCTAGTTCAGCCTCCAACTCTTCCATAAACCTCATCTAGATGTGAATGCCACCTCCATAACCCAGCTCTAGTAAGTATTAAAGCTGTGCTTTGAGTCTAGATCAAGATATTTTTGGCTGTCTGGTCCTGCTCCATGACAGACCTTGCTGTCTCCTGTCTAAATAAACAGCCAGCAGTTCCCAGAGGTCTTTACATAGTTGTGGTTGTCACTTTAGATGAGTCCCAAGAACTTCTATTTGTAAAATGTAATGGACCTGAGAGACAGCATCGCACTCTCAGGCATGCTCCAGTTATCCTGCCAGTTATATTACAGAAAGATCAGTTGATCAGGGCTATAGGTAAAAGGAGGACATCCTTTCTAACCATCAGAGAAATATTTGCCATGGGAAAGGGGGGAAAAGAACAGCTGCTCTTGAAGGAACTAGATTTCATCTTGAAGCAGTAGAGATTCAACCACCTGTAAAAAGTCTCAGAGGAGAGTAGGACAAATGGGTTTCAGCATTTTCTCTCTTCAAGGGTTGTGGTGAGGGAGGATATACTGTACTAAAACCATGTTGGGGTACACAGATTGGAGTCTGAGGGTAAAAAGGTAAGAATTGGTAACAGTTGTACAAGTGGGTGATAGTGAAGAGCACAGTGAGGACTTTCATCCCAGAGTAAAAATTGTAGACTATCATTAAGAGTACGATTCTCTCACAGAGGTCACGGATTCTGTGACTTTCTGGGACCTCCATGACTTCCGCAACAGCCAGAGCAGGGGCCCCCAACAGCCCCACCCAGCTACACTCCCAGTGTTAGTTCCCCCCCCCCACACACACGTATTTTTAGTAAAAGTCAGGGACAGGTCATGGACTTCTGGAAATTTTTGTTTATTGCCCATGACCTGTCCCTGACTTTTACTAAAAATACCAGTGACGGAATCTTAACCTTAATTCCCAAGAAAGTGATGGCTATTAAATAAGTGATATGTGCAAAGTCATGCTTGTTGGGAAAAAATAATCCCAACTAGACATATAAAATGATGGGGTCTAAATAAGATGCCAGCACTCAAGAAAGATCTTGTAGTCATCATGGATAGTTCTCTGAAAACATTTGCTCAATGAGCAGCGGCAGCAGTCAAAAAAGCTAACAATGTTAGGAACCATTAGGAAAGGGATAAGCAAGACAGAAAATATAATGCCACTATATAAATTCATGGTACGCCCACACTTTGAATAGCAGTTCTGATCACCTCATCACAAAAAAAGGTATTTTAGAATTGGAAAAGGTACAGAAAGGGACAATAAAAATGAATAGGGATATGGAACAGCTTCTATACAAGGACAGATTAAAGACTGGGACAGTTCATCTTTAAAAAAAATGACTAAGGAGGAATATGATAGAAATCTAAAAAAATCATGAATGGTGTAGAAAAAGTTATTTATCCCTTCAAATAAGAAGAACCAGGGGCCACCCAATGAAATTAATAGGCAGCAGGTTTAAAACAAATAAAAGTAAGTACTTTACACAATGCAGTCAACCTGTGGAATGTGCTGTAATGGGATGTTGTGATGGCCAAAAGTATAACTTGGTTCAGAAAAGAACTAGGTAAGTTCATGGAAGATAGGTCCATCAATAGCTCTTCGCCAGAATGGTCAGGACATAACATCATGCTTCAGGTGTCCCTAAGCCTCCAACTGCCAAAAGTGGAGACTGGACAAAGGGGCTGGATCACTTGAAATTGCTCTATTCTATTCATTCCTTCTGAAGCATTGGGCACTGGCCATGGTCAGAGACAGGATGCTGAGGTAGATGGACCACTGGTCTGACCCAGTACAGCCAGTCTTATGTTCTTAAACGACTCATCTGATTTCTACTGTCTGAGTCACTTAAAAGTAGACTGGACAACTGTCAGGAGAATATAGTATAAGGAACCATCCGGCATTGGCTAGTGAAGGGAACAAAAGAACATAAACTGGACTTCTTCCATTTCAATTACCCACCCACATGAGTTTGCACCTGTGCTTCAAGATCACATTGAAACTACTGGCTCCTCCAAACTGTGTGCTGGTTTATTTCACGAGCCCTAAAGGGAAAGCAGGGCTGAGACAGCATACTCAAAATATACAGGAGGAAATAGAACCTCATTTCCTTTTTGGCACCACAATAATGCCAATAGGGACAAGGCCTTGGCTACTGAGATCATGATCCACAAAGCTAGCTGAAAATAATTCACATTGAGCTGCTGTGGGCTTTGAATTCTTGCTATATGGGCATGAAAATCCACTCCACTTTTTCCTCCCGTGAGTTGCAGCCATTGCTTTTGGACACAGAAACACAGCTTAACATTTTAGCTCTTTTGTGCAAGCTGGCTGCTGGAGACCTCTCCATCTCCCTCCCCACTGTCACGGTGTCAAAAGGATTGTAGATGGGATTTGTGTGCCCTCTGGGTGTTAGCTCAGGCTCTGCGCCTCCCTAAGTCCTTTCTGTGATGACTGCAACACCCAGAGCTGATTGAACCTGCATTGCACTTGGGACTGGGGCTCTGTATTCATTAGTTCAGTGTGAGGGATCACCCCTCATCCTGGTTTAACTTAAGGGACTTCTTTTAAGAGGTTTTTTTATTCTAGAAAAATATTTATTTCCTATTCAGTATGGAAGAGTCTAGACTACGTGTTCAGGAAGGCTGTTGAGATGTTTATTAGGGGGTTTATTCTAGTGACGAGGTCTTAGCACCACCTTGTGGATTGAAGTGGTAATTGCAACCCATCTTAAGTTAATACAACAGAAGCTAAACACGGTGGTAAGAACTCCTGCACTCACTTTACACTGTTGGTAGCACCAGTGTAGCTACACCACTGATGAAAAATACCTACTGTTTTCCCAGCGCACCCACACTATGTATAAGTGAATGTTACCAGAGACTAGTTTTTAGATATTATACATTTTATTAACTTAATATTCCAGCACACAGTATCAGATTCATGGTATATTCCCAATACAACTACTGCTATTTATGTCTTGACAAGTATAGTCTGACTTTGGGGTTTATAGGCACATGTAAAATGTTTATAGGCAAATGTAAAAGCACGTTATGCAGCACGTTTATAGCCAGGTTAGCCACATTACACCTTTCCACCCATGAAGAAAGAGCAGAGATGGCACAAGATCCAGGGAAGCTAGAGGAATGCAGATTAAGGGCCTGACTTTCAGAGGCACTCAGCAGTTCTGAATGTTAGGCCCCTTGAAATCAAACTTTGTTAGAGAGGAACCATTCTGTGGATCTTTATTTTTAGAACTAATAATAAAACTCATTGAAGAGTGACTTCTGCACTTTTCTGTGTAATAGACACACTTTCACCACTGCACTGAGCAAATCCATGCCCCCATTCACACACCTGGACTAGCAACACTCCCCCACCTCCTCTGATGCTCTGATATTCTCTCTGTCCTGTGGAGACTTTTTGACTTGCAATGGCACAGCATTGAATGTGACCGTCAGACTCATTAGTCAGGTGTGTGGTGGGGGGGGGGGGGGTGTTACCTGCCAGGCAGTTTGCTGGGGCTATATAACAAAAGATGACCATTTTTTTCAAAGAAAGAAAAAATGCCAAATTGCTGGGCTGTCTCCTTTAAGCCCCTCCTCCCTCTCTGCTTAGATATTTGGGGATTAGAAAGGCTAGGCCAATCTTTCTTTGCATATCCCCCAACTGCTTGTTCATTACTGCCAACTGCTGTATGTATGGCGGCTACTAAACTGGCTTCCTTCCTTTAAGGGGCTTTATGGGTAAGTGAATGTTTTGCATTTGAGAGAAGTGCCCTATTTCAATTTGAATACTGCAAAAAACTCTTCCTAATGCTTTCCTATGTTCTCCCTGGTGAAATAGTCCATTGGTACTAGGCAGAGAACAGGCAGCAGCCTTGCAGACTTCTGATACTTCTTCTCCATGACTGCTGTGCCTCTGAAGAACACCTACCTGCTATGATACACACTGACCTAAGGACATGGCCATCTCCCACTTCCCATACAGCAATCAGAAGGCTACACAGCTCTTGGTCACTAACAAATGGGGTTAATTCAAACTGGGACCTAGGAGTGAAAGGAGATTCACTAGTACGGCTCCAGCCACCACCCACCAAACAGGAACTAAGCCTTTCCTATAAAGGTAACAAAAGCAAGGAGCAGCATGGGATGAGCTGGCCTCATTACAAATCAACAGAAAAAGCGTCTCAATAAAATTCCCATTACTGTCTATTTCTGCAGTTTGAAACAGCATCAGAGTGTGGACAGGAAGAATGGCAATGGATTTACATCAAGGTTACTCATCAATGGAGCTTTTCATCAAAGAACTGAAGAAGAGGGCAGAAACCCCCGGCATGTGACCAGCGCAGATCTGCAACATCCGGAGCAGCCGCTGAGCTGTGGCAACTCTGATTCCTTCAGACTGGAAGCAGAGGGAGAAAAAAAAAAAAAACCCACAAGTTATTTAAAAATAAAGGGAC